GCATTGTCCATCATTCTGTCAGATGAATAGTTGTGCAACTCAAAAGTTCAAACAGACAGTATCCTAAGAAAGGTTTTGTATATTGTTACAACATAGATTTTTGACTATTTAATGACAAACTTCCAGGTACTTTCTGTTTCCTGGCAGTCATGACTTCAGAAATCATGTGGGGAAATTCCCTAAATCTGCTGTGGCCTTTTCACAAAAATTAACTTTTTCATATCTTTGCTTCTTGAAGACTGAAATGCTGTTGACTTTTCAGCTTGCTTTATCCAAAAAGTTAGTTCAATCTTTACTCTAGTTGAATCTCAGAACTCCACTTCAAATCCTGGAGGATTTTTATGAAGATTTATAAATTGGTGCTTCAAAAGAGGATTTAGTAAAATGTAACTGGTTATTCTTCTTTTTCTTCTTTCCTAGAGGTGGCATTAAGATTGAACAATCTAATTGAAAGCTTTAGTGTGAAGGACGGTAAAGCTATCAGAACAATAAATGCCTTGAACAAAGTGCAAGATTAAAGAATAGCAATAAATCGCCTCTATTTTAGTTCTTGACATTTCATTTTTACACTTGTAAAAAGACCTTGATAGCTACCGCTCTAAATATAATCTGTAACCATTATTAGGGCAAAGTGCCTCAGAGCATATGTTGAAACAATGAAAACAAGAGACCTGCAAGCATGTAAGTGCATAGAAACCTTCTGATTTTCTGCCATGTGGGTTATATGTACACAGCAAGATGATAGCTGAAACTTGGAACAATCACCATCCTTATCACCTTGTTATTTTCCCCACCCATTCAAGAGGACAGCTGTAATAATAGGATTTAACAATAGCACAAATATTTAACACCACCCTTGATAGCACAGCCCAGAATTAAAAAGGAATTCTCTAGCTGTCTGTCTTGAATTAAGTGATGTGATCCATGGCCTCAAGGGCTCGATCACTCAACTAAGACCTATGCTAGATGACTGCATATTATGTTGCTCTACTTCTGGAGTTTGTTTGCTCAGCAGCTAGCCAACCTCAGAAGATTTTTTTTTTAAAGTTGGGTCTGGCTAGTACTTCGATGAAAGATCACCAGGAAATCCCAGGACTGTAAAATAGACTGGGAAATTAAATGAACATCCCATAAGAAAAAAATGGGAAACACATCAGTATTTTGCCAAAAAGAACACTTCTGTGGATCTGTCCATATGGGTACAAGAAGTTGGATTTTACTGGTGTGTCTTCACCTCAATTTAACTGCACAATGGCTCGTTTTGGAACGTGACCACCACATAGATGGAAAACTAACTTTTCCCCCCTACCTCTTCTGTATGAAAAAATTAAAATCTGCCCTCACCATCATCATGACACCCATTAGTTCACCTTGTATACCTCCAAATCTGGTCTTTGGGAGGAGGGGGGTGTTGGTTTTTTCCCTAAAAAACTCATTAGCACAATACTTCATTTATTTTCATTTTTTTCCCTACCTGATCTATGTTGTTCTTTGCCTGCCTGGCTAACTTTAAATGATATACTGGGGAAGGACCTATCAGTTTCCTTCCATCCCAGGATAGATTTGGACTGAATGAAGCTGTAGTCACCAAGGGCAGTCCCTTTGCCAAATTCCCTTGAGCTTTTCAGTAGAGAACAACTTTTCCCATTAAGATGCCTTGGTTTGCTTGCTAGTATGGTCTTTTTCACCCTACAGGCTTCCCAGCGACCAACTGCATTCACTGCTTCCTCTTGCTATGGGGTGGAGGAAAACACACTTCTTTTGTGCTTTGATTATGTGTATTTACATACATAGTTTTGGTGAGGGAGTTTTTCTTAACATTACCATTTTACGTATTGTCGAAGGCTTTCACAGCTGGAATACGATGGCTGATGTGGCTCTTCCAGGCTGTGTGACCATGTTCTGGAAGTTGAAACTTCCAGAACATAGCCACACAGCCCGGAAGACCCACATCAGTTACCATTTTACCTTTGGTTAAACTGGTATCTTTTACTTTGTGGGAGCAGATCCCTGGTAGGACCTGCAGCATTTGATTATCTTCTGTGAGAAAGCAAAAGCTAGATTAAGGTGGCCTTGGCTAGTCTTATGTTCTTAGATAAGTGATTTAGCATTTGAGGAATAGTCTCTACTTTGTACTCAGTACAGGGGTGTTATCGAATTTAGACAACAACTGATTCCAACCTAGCTCGTCTTCCTCCTCCAATTTGACTGGTGCACTGGACTTTCATCCTGGATCTTGACTAGTGGGGAGCCAGACTAGCCTCATTCTTGAGCCACAACTGTCCCTGAGCAGCAAGGAGGATGAAAGTGGGGGATGCAGTGGGGGGCAGAGAGATAGAGGAAGCAGCAGTGAAGAGAATTTAATAAGTGGGCCAAATTCGCTAGATAACATCTCTGACTTAATACTTTGGCAAATTATTTGTTTCTGAGCTTCATCAGTTTTCCTTCTATGAGATGGGGATGTATTTTGTGCTGGGAGGTCAAATGAAATGGTATAGGATTTAGTGTTCAATTCAGTCTTTTTCATTTGTCTTTGTTTCTGAAAAAAATAGTAATCTTTTGTTATTGAGCTTCTGCCCTGCTCTCCCCTTCCCAGCGGCTATTTTGTGGTGCCCATGAGAGCTTTTACATTTTTCTAATGTGCCAAAAGCCAAAAATGGTTAAATGTCTTAATGTCTTAATAAGTGGCTTGGGTGTGAAGCAACCTAGGCTTATGTGACCAAGCACTTGAGGACTACAGTACTTTTCCAATAGGTTTTTATAATTGTCAAATTACAGGTCCTTATCATGTTACCTTTGACTGGGTTTTCCCTGAACATAAGAATGATGAAAGAGATTTCCTGAGCAGGTCTTGATGGCATTTGTGTCACCACTAATGTCTTCACAACCCTTAGGTGCAGAAATGAAACAGAGCTTTTCTGAAAACTCTTACAGCCTCAACATCCATCATCTCCAGGCAGTATGGCCAGGAGTGAGAGATGCTGTAAGTTATATTCAGAGACATCTGTTTTAAGGGCAAAACTGCTTTCTTTTCATTATATAATGTCACAAGAAGATAATTTGTGAACATCTCTGTAGGGGAAGCATCTTTAGCCTCACTGATTGTAGTTTCTACTCCTAAACTGCCTGTTACTTATCTATGAATATTCCAGAATGACTTCTGTTTCCCCTGAAATTACCAGTGGAGGTGCTATTAAGAGTAGTTTTGTGTATTATGTGCACATACAGCGCACAGAATTCAAAACAGTTGTTCATATTTACTGTTATTCCTATTAACTGATAGTAAGTGTTATGATAAACAATCACCATAGCATTTTATTTGTATAGTTAAGAATAGGCATCAACTTGGACAGTGTTGCCTACTTAATGCTATCACTCTGCCTTGTGGATTTTCAACAATACAAAGGATAATGCCTGTAGCAGTTGCTCAGAACTTAGTGACACAATTAGTTTCTGCCCTGGAACATAATAGTATATACTCACAGGTAAGCAGTAACTCCATAGATAATCCAGTCCTTGTGAGATTCTCAAATTGTGTGACTGACACTAAATTTTATACATGCAAAACAATATTTATTTATATGATTAGATATAAGATACAGACAGACAAACAGACAGATGTCACTAAAAAGAATAGCAAAAAGATATAAAATAATATATCTGCTAATTAAATAACATGTGAATAAAGGTAGTGCAGACGTGAGCTATAAGTCATCAAAGCCAGATGATGACTTATAAAAATAAGTTCACCTGGCCCACTTGGTTTATTCCTAGTTTGCCCTAAATTGTTTCAATAGTAACCCCAGGAATACCTCCAAAGTGCTAAACGCATCTTGAGGAGGAATGTAAATTCATCCTACACAGATTGAATACCTCTCTCTTGGCCAAAAGTATCCCTGTCTTTTCTGGGTTAAGCCTTTATTTGTTTGCCCTCTTCCTGTGTATTGCCAATATCAGATGTTAATTTAAAAATTGAGCAGCTTCCTTGGATTTAGAGGAAAATAAAAGATAACAGCTAATTGATATAAGTATATTTGTAGCACTAAGCTCCAAACTCAATATAACCTGTCCCAGCAGTTTCATATGTATGTTAAAAAGCAGGTTGGACAAGATTGAACATGGTGTAGAACTGCTGACGCCTCTAAACATGCAACTACAGAAGGAAAAATATTGTCCCCTTTTTCATTTGTCATACTACAGGGAAAAATAAATGCAAATAATTGGTAGTTTAAATAAACAACAAATTACGTTCCTCATTTTGCTGATATTTGTGCATTTTACCCAAGAATGAATGAATGAATGAACATTGTGTGTGTGTGTGTGTGTGTGTGTGTGTGTGTGTGTAGAGAAAGGTATCAGACCATGTATCATGATATAGATTGAATGGAGAATGTAATTATAAGGTGTTACATATTAAGGGTTTTCTCAGATTTGTATATACCATCATAATGTACCAAAAATATTTTTAAAAAATAGTAGGAATGTAAATGAAGATATTCCCACAAACAAATAAAATAATGGTAGAAGTTCTAATTTGAATAATTATGAATATGGAAATATGTGCATTTTGCTATAAACAATTCAGAGTAGCTTTAATGATGGCAGCTGTCATAGGAAGCTTATGGGTATTACATTTCTATTATTGCTGTGCTCTGGTTTTTGTAAAAAGATGAAGCCAGAGCTAAAATCCTAAACTTTCCTGCTGAAAAGTGATTCCCCTTAGAACACCTTGAATTAATATCTCTGTATGCATACTGATCCCCTACATTTCTTAAATTGTAAATATTATCTCCGTAGCTTTTTCCCCAAAAGTTAGGATAGGAAAATCATGTATACAGCTGCCATCATTAAAGCTACTTTGAATTGTTTATAGCAAATGCACAACTCTATACCTGCTCTAAAATAGTCTGACAGATTCATTCACTCATAGCTGTTATGATTAGATAATAAAAGTGTGATGACTGTTTAAAGCTTTTCTCTCTTGATGTTTGGTTGGGCAGTAAACTGGCTAAGAAACGCAAGGATGCCATGGGAAACACTAGGCAAGAAATGACCCATATGGTGAATGCAATGGATCGGAGCTATGCTGATCAAAGCACTCTTCATGCAGAGGATCCTCTTTCAGTCACCTTTATGGATTCTCATAACTTCAACCCCAGATGTAAGTATAATAGTGGCAAGGGCTCATTGTTACTTCTGTTTATATTTGCTATACATTGCGTTTGGTACCATACAAATATATTTCATGCAAGGGAATGATACACTAGAGTTATTAAACATTTGTCCTTCTTGCAGACCAAAAAAAAAAAAAAAATCAAATACAGAGAAATTTAGAATACGTGTTTATCAAATACAATTTTCTGAGGTTATTCTCTGATATAACCACTGGAATGTTTACTCCAAAGCCATAATTTAATAACTTTCATATTCTTTGCTTGTGCTGGGTCCAAAGATGAGAAACACTAAGGACAGTACTTTAGAAGACTAATGCATATATAAGTTCCAACAGAAAATTCCTTTTCAAGATAATATTTCAAGTGACCTCCCACTGTAGTACAATTGCAGTTTTGTAGTACGCAAATTGCTTCAGAAACAGCAGGCAACAATTACTTTCCATTCCTTCATTAGGAAGTGTAGGATTACATTATCTTTTTCCAGTATTAATCTACAGAAAAAAAATGGATGTTGCCTTTTTCTCCTCCAACATTAAACAGGTAATATATGGGTTCATACGATTGTTCTTTAAAGAATAGAAAGAATTGTAGCTCTTTAAAAATTATATTGCAAAAATGTATATATTTTTTAAAAACCTTGTATTTTGCCAATAGAACCTCAACATCTGTAAAATTGTGTTTGATAAAAACAGATTTCCATTTAATCAAAAGTATGTTTTAGATCATTATTCTTACACTAACCCAGTATGATTGTATACATTTGTGTATATACATATTCATATACAATTTGAAATTCAAATAACTTTTTATTTCAACAATTTGGGGTATTGTATTTATATCTAGATGCTCATCTGATTAGAGTGTGTGTGTGTGAGAGTTCTATTAAAAGGTATTGTTTATGCTAGTTGCACAACAGTGTTGCTGCCAATAACTTAAGAACAGATACTTCTGTAGGCTTGGATGCTAGGCTGAAGTACATAAGGATATTATTGAAAAGAGATTATTTGGAGAGTTAAGAGCTCTCTTGAACAATATGCTACTCGATGTGATGCAGAGATATGGGGGGGAGGAGCATATAGGAAACCTTTCTTCCCTGAACTTCTTTAAAATGCTTTAAGATTTGGCTGTAATTTAGTCAATTTTCCCACCCTATTTTCTGTGCAGGCTCATGTTCCCCTGCAAAAACCCAAACCAATTTAAGGGATTTTTCAGAACAACGGGGGATACAATGTGAAGGTGGTTGTTGGAAAATGAAGGCCAAATCTGAGGATGGGAATGCCACCACAATCACCTAAAAGCCTTCTCCCCTGTCCCCAGTAGTGATTGGAATGAGCAGGGTAACCCCATTATATTGCATAGGACCCATTGCAGGGCCAAAGAAACCTTGTTTGTTTGTTTGTTTGTTTATTTAGCCTGCCAGTTCCCCCAGGAATTTTGGCCAGCCATAGCTTTACTCAAGCCATACCAAGTCTTTGCCCTGCTAAGAAAGTTCACAATTTGGAGGCTTAAAACATTTGCTTCTCCTCCTTGCTGAGCACATGGAGTTCTGAGAGCAGTAATTAGCCTTGGGCAACTGCTCTGGTAGAACTGTCTGAGGCTTTTTCGCTATAGCTCTCAGGAAGAAAATGCTTAGATAACAACTAAATCCAACCCATTTGGACAGTTTTATAAATTTATTGCACTGTTTATTCTGTAAGAAGCAAACATCGTTTTGTACAAAGTGGTTTTGTATTTCCTGTACCGCTAATAAGATGAATAGACATTGCTGTGTGTTCCAAAAAGTCTGTTTCTTTAAAAAAAACAGTTGGAGGTAATGTATTTTTTCATAAGCTTTGTTTTCCTGCAGTGCCCAATGATCCACTTGTGCCGACTGCTGTGTTAGGTGAGGACCTAGTCCTTCATCTTCTTTTTCTTCATGACTTAACAACTCTTGTCAGTAAATATATTTATTGTATGTCCAAGCTAGCTTTCAGATTTAGAAAGGTAGGCCTGGTACTTAGCAGAATATTTGGGTATGTTCAGTTATATGTTACATTTTCCAAAGATTCGTGTACTATAAACAATACCAGTGTAAGCAAGAATTTTCGTGAGCTGAAAGTTGGGTGTACAACATGCAGTTCCACCTGATGTGGTGCTAAAAACAACTCTAAGAACTCTAGTCAGAAATAATGGATGCTGGGAACTGTAGTTCAGCACTGTCTGTAACAGCAGGTTAGATATCCACTGTCTACTGAAAAGCTTTCTACACACTCTTGCACACACAGATATTATTAGCTTAGGAATTTTACAGCTTAGGCAATGATAGCTTTCATGAATGTTTGTTTATATATGCATGCCTATAGATCTTGTTCTGTCTCAAGCCAGAGGTTAGTGAACTGTAGCTCAGGGTGCAAATATTCCCAAGCTCATTTATGTGGTTTTTGGAACCCACTCAAACTACTATTTCTGAACAGTGATGGCTTTTTTTTCTTTTTTTAACCATTTGGGGACAAGAAACCCATTAAACTGTGGTGAAAATCTTACAATTAATTTAACATAATTCTAAAAGCTTCCTCCTGAAAACCTGTGGGTAAAAAGAAAAACCCCAGCTCTGCCCATATCTGTGATACTCACCCACTTTGCATTCTTGCCTCATTGCACTGCAAACCTCAAACTTCCAATAAGTTGCATGCTACCTTAAAGCAACTAAGGGTTCCCACCCCAGCATATGCAAAGAGGTAATATCATGTAGCTCATCTGACATGGTTGCTTGATGATGTCACTTTTCTTTGCAATATATAATCCATTTTGAAACAAAAAGATAGCATGGAACTAGCAAAGGATGGTGTTGTAAAGTTATTTTAGACCGTCACTGATCTGTAGATACATGGAAGGAAAATTAATACTGGGTTCCCCAAGGGTCGGCACTTTCTCCGCTCCTGTTTAACATCTACATGAAGCCACTGGGTGAGATCATTTGCCACCATGGGGTGAGATATCATCAATATTCAGATGATACTCAGTTGCTCATCTCTGCCCATGGTGAGTTTAGCAATGCCGTGAGAGGCTGTTGAGGTCTGGATGGGGAACAACAGTTTGAAGCTGAACCCTGGTAAGATGGAGTGGCTTTGGGTTCAGGACTCTTTGGTCTCAGGAGAATTACCATTTTTGGTCTTGGACGGGGTTGCATTATGTAATCTGGGGATTCTCCTGGACTTGCAACAACTGTGCGCCAGTTACACCCATTTCTGGACCAACATGCCCTTCTCACACTCAGCCATACCCTAGTTACCTCCCGTTTGGTAATGCGCTCTACATGGGGCTGCCCTTGAGGAGTATCTGGAAGCTTCAGTTGGTTCAAAATGCGCCACCTGCATATTTGCACAAGCCTAGATTTGTGGGAGCTGCATTGGTTGCCAATTTGCTTCTGGGTCCAATTCAAGGTACTGGTTATTATCTTTAAAGGCCTACATGGCTTGAGGCCGGGTTATTTGAAGCACTGCCTTTCCCCAGTTACATCTACTCAGCCCTCCAGAGCCGGGAGGCAGGGTATGCTACGGGTCCCTTCAGTAAGGGAAGTACATCTAGTGGGACCAAGAAAAAGGGCTTTCTCTGTGGTTGTTCCTTCCCTATGGAATATCATTCTCCCGGAGATAAGACTGGCCCCCACCTTGCTACTTTTCTAGAAGGCCCTGAAGATGTGGTTTTGTCAGCGTGTCTGGGGACCCCAGGCTGATACGGAGCTGATCAAATGGTTAGTCTGAGTGTGATTGTTGCCGCCGGGGGGTAGGTTGTTGTATTATGGGTTTTAATTCTGTCAGCCACCCAGAGTCACCATGTGTGAGTTGAGTGGCCATATAAATTTGTTTAATTAATTAATTAATTAATTAATACTCTAGAAGCAATGTTAAAATAAAAATAATGTTAGATGTGGGTGCACTCTCCAAATAGTCTCAGCTTGTGGCTCCATGTAGATCTTAAACAGCATGGGAGTCAAGAGTGAACTCTGTGGTTATGATGCCAACCTGTCATCCATATCTAGCCAAATAAAATGATTATATGTTGCATCCAACCCCCATCTGAAGCAGGCTGTCCAGAAGGATACCACTGTCAGTGGTATCAAGGACATTTCCAGGAGTAGAACATATAGACGTTTAACCAAGGCATTCTGGGCAGTTCCAGGATCAAACCCTGGCAGGAGCACAATTACATTGGATTCAAAGAGGAAAAAAAATGAAGATATGTTCTTAGAAAGCACTTATGAATGTTGTGATACCTTCAACTTGTAAAAGTTCATTAGGAGGGACTATGCACTTTATGTAAAGCATAGCAAGAATCATGAATCACTTAGTATCTTAGTAACTTTCTAAGAACAGATCAAGCTGAAAGGTTTTAGGTATACCAAATGGTATGTCTGCCATGGAGACTCTTGTTCAAGAATATCTTAGATGGGTTGAACTATTTTACTAGTTTCATTTTTATCCTGTGTTTCCTTTTAAAAACTGAGGATAACACTGAGATAGGCCAGGTTGTTTGAAATCTACACTAAGGCTTCATGTCTAGTTGTAAAATTCACCCAAAGGTTCATGTCAGATCTCCTCTATTTAGCATCAGCTATTTAATAATGAATGAATTACAATTTTGAAATACAATCTACAACTCTAAGCAATCAATGAAATTAAACTGGATGATTCAGTGTTATTTCCCTAATGCTTTTTATTGAGACAATCTTATTCTATAGTAGTAAGGCACTAAACAAATATATTTGATGTGACATTAATGCTAACAGAACCTCCAAGTAGGTAAAATGATTGTTTTGACATGCAAAGGTTAATCTATTAGAACTGCAAAGAGCAAACCCAGGGCAAAACTGACAGACAGACTGACAGGTTCTGCACGCATTCACGTCACTGTGTTGGTTTCCATTTGTTACTTTTTCACCTTTATTTATGCGAAGCTCGATGTCTCAGCTGGAGGTTGTGGGTGTTTGCACTTGACTTATATACTTGCTAATATATGTGGTGTCTAATAGTATAGCTCTAATAGCTCTTGTTGCTTTGCATTAATGAAGTATTTTGCATATGAAATATAATTTGAAGTATTCACATTAGCATGTAGTGATTAAAAATAGCGTAAAGCATTTCTAAAATGGCAAAGCCTACCTCAGTACCATCATTATAAGACTTCTACAACTTGTAAGGTTGCTTTCATGATTTTGTAACATACAGCTGGCTTCAAATGTGTCTCAGATGTTTTATTTGCTTTTTCATGCTTCAATGTGTTCCAGTCCCTATAAGTGGTAAGTATTGGAGGAAATACTGTGTAAAGTTGACCATGAAATGATTTTTGTTAAATTATATATGGCATAGTGAAATATTCTATTTATTGAGACTTTGACTTGTTACTTGCAGTGCAAGTTAATTTAATAAGGCCCATGTATTGCAAAATTAAACACTCAGAGACTCCAGACTTTTTGGACCATTGAATACATTTGGAAATCCAGTTCCATCACAAAATGTCTGTTGTGGAGAACTGCGCAACTTAATCATAAGAGACCAGTAATTTTCTCAAGAAATACTATGCAAACCAATAGTTGGATCCGAGCTGCATATATCAAACTACCTCTTATGTCCAATGAAGCACAAGAAAATATCCATTTCATATAAGGATGTTTAAGATAGCAAACAAGTGATGCTCAAGGATAAGTAATTTTCCCCCAAACATGAAACATATGGAGGTATATAACAGACAAAACTTTCACTTGACACTAAGCACACTTAAGACTTTTTCTCAAAACTGCTGCCTTGCTCAGTTTATGACAACCCGTGTTAGTGAGCAGAGTGACAGCCTCCAGCAGCAGTTCCTGTTTCCTCTCTAGCAAAAGTCTAGCTGTGGTCGGGTGGTATGCCTGGGAACAGAAGTAAAAGAAACGTTTAATTGAATGGGTCTACGGGCTTGGTGGAAGGCATTCTTGGGGTACATTGGGGCCCACAGGCCCTGCTGCCTATAATCAGAAAACAATGCTGATGATTCTCTTCAAGCCTTTCCAAGGCCAATATCATCAGTTTATGCATTATGGTGAGCGCCTGCATGCTCAATAAAAACTGTTTATTGTGAACCCTCAACAAGCTAGATCAGACAGATTAGTCCACACATTTCCAAAGATGTACAAATTACTTCAGTGCAGCAGTCATGAACCAAACCAAAATAGACAACTTTTCTGAAAGTTGTTTTTCTCTTCACTTTTAATTATGGGTAAGAAGATAACCGAATATAAGTTCAAGGGAGCCAATAGCAAATTTGGGGGCACGGAGGTAGTTAAACCTTTCTAAACCCAATGAACAGTGGTTTGCATTTGTACAATCAGTAAGTATCATGGGACATGGAAGTTGAACTACAACTGTACACACCTTGAGGCTTCTCCATGTATGAATCAAAATCAGGTTGTTATTCAACACGTGCCCGTGTCCATTCTAACTCATGTTAACCAACCCAGACTGAAAACTCAGCTTGTCCAATCACTGTTGGACAATTGATTTGAAGCTTCTGACTGTGCATTTTGAACATAACCTTGTAAAAATATAAAGGGGATGCATATCTTTATTTTAATTTGGCTTATAGGCCACTCCAATCATTAACCAGCTGAACACCTTACAGTCTTACGTACCATGCATAAACAGAATTAAAAGATCTAAGAAAATAGAACCCCCCCCCAAAAAATGACAAACATAAACATTCACAAATTTAACACAATAGTAGCAAAATCCTATGCTGAGGAAACCCACAGTCATATACTCATTCACAGGAAGGGTTTCTCTCAATTCATGTCCCCCCAAAGCTCTGCTGAAGTAACCCTGCTTTGTTTGCATTCCTACTTATCAGTTGTCCTGTTGAGTCAGGTTAAACCTCTAAGGGGATGCTATTCCAGATCAGGGGGTCAGTGACTGAGACGGCCGGTGAGATGACGTCCTTTAAGACAGGGAACACAGAGGGAGCTCCCTCTTCTCGATCAACTTGGGCAGCCGCTTGTTGCTGATGCTTTCTTTTGTAAGAGTAAAAATAGCATCCAGAACTTTGCAGGGTGCTGCAATGAGCTCATGTAAAGATGGGCTGTAGCAGGAGTATTTTAGTTCCACTGTTGCTGAACTCTCCTCCATTCTTGGGCTCTTATAACCACAGATGAAAACCACAGCGCAACAGCAGAGTCAAGTCGTCTGTTAGATGTACCTCGTTATCTCTGCGAAGGAACAGAATCCCCGTACCAAACCGGCCAACTACATCCTGCTATCAGAGTAGCGGATTTGCTGCAGCATATTAATCTCATGAAAACATCTGACAGCTATGGTTTTAAAGAAGAATATGAGGTAACACTGTCAGCAGTTGTTTTTTACATGACCTAGGGCAGAGAGTTCCTTTGAGAGTAAAGCTTCTTGATTGCAAAGAGAGTTCTTAATTACAGGAGCATGAAAATGAATGTTTAATGGGGTTACATTTTTAAAAAGACCATTTTGAGTGTGCCATGAATGAGTGAAAGAATTTAAAAGTATTATGTGAGAACCAGAGCGTTGCAAAGAGTGAAAAGTATCAAAAACACATGCTCCTCATACAGGTATTCCTCCCTTTTTAAGGACAGCTTTTCCTTCAACATTCCTATGCAGGATATTATATAAATCAAATCTTGCATACAAAGGTCATTTGTTGAAAAGTTTCCCTGGGAGGCTCTATATGCAGCACCAGTACTTGTACACTGAAAAAAAAAAGCAGTCTTCTTTGCCTATTTTATTTATTTATTTGCAAATTTATTGGTAGCTTTTTATAGCCGCCCTGATCAAAAGACTCTGGGTAGGTTCCAAGACATTAAAAGATAAAAGCAACAGCAGATAAAGAGATAATAAATCAACATTCCCCCAAGATGGCTGCCAATAGAGTTGGGGGGGGGGGGGCCTTTCTTTAAAGATATTCTAAAAACCATGATTTCTGGAGGTAAGGGATTCAAAAGTGGGGGGGGGGGTCCCAAAACCTGTTGTTTTGTCCCTGCCCCGTTCCATTCAGAAAGAGGATGGACTGAGATGTTCTCACCAGGTGGACAGATACAGTTCTGGCAAGACCATCCACCTGTGTACTGTATATCTTTCATATGCAGAGAGACCTTGGACAAATCGGGATGAAAAGCACATGCCTGGCCTGCCTAGACCAACTATAGTTCCTTGAATCCTAGTTCTGAAACTCTGATCTTAATCTTAGTTAATCAACTAGTTTTATATAAAGAATATATAGATATAGATACAGATACAGATAAGATACAGATATAGATATAGATATAGATACAGATCTTTTAGCCTTTGATTTTAATTTCTGCTCTGTGAGTTACTAGTTCATTCCTTTATCCACATAAAACAAAGTAGGTATGACTTGTTAATGACATGCATCTTCTTTTTTTATTTAGTTCTTTGTTTATTTATTCAATCTGTATTTATTCAATATTGTTCATTTTGTCACAAAGAAAGACAATATACAGGATAAATACTACAATGGATCCATTAAGTGGGGTAGGGGGAATTAGTAAAAAAAAAAAAAGCCATTCTTATTAGTAACCACAAATCACTGTTGCCTGATTCCAAGCTAATACTGTATGCGATATTCTCATCATGTAGGAGCGAATATGTAAAAATCATGAACTAAAAGTTATTTTATGTTATTAATGTACTGTAGCCTATTTTCAGTTGTTTGGTTCAAGAAATACTATATTTGCTTTTTACCATTGTGCTGGAAATAATTATTTAACTGAGGAATATTTTCTTTGCATATAGTTGGATCATTTCATTTATATCAAGCAGTGTTTTTCAACCTCCACAACTTTTAATATGTGTGGACTTCAACTCTCAGAATTCCCCAGCCCGCATCTTAAAGTTGCTGAGGTTGAGAAACACCGATATCAGGAATTGTCTCACTTTCTTCTACCACAAGACTTCTTGTGTTTTCTAGAGCTTTTCAGCCTGGCAGAATATTGCCATGTTGCTAGGAAAAAGTATATATGCCGATAGTCTAACTCCAGGAAAACAACCAAACTCAGAGAACACCAAGAACCCAACTGATGTTCTAAATTAATGTTAATGTAAAATATGTCCGGATGAATAAAATGCTAAAATAAATATAAATTATCTCTTTATTTTGAAAGAGTTTCTTTGAAGGACAATCAGCTTCTTGGGATGTGGCAAAAAAGGATCAAAACAGAACGAAGAATAGATATGGGAACATTATAGCATGTAAGTTAAAAACAGATAATCATGTAGATGAATATGTTTGTTACGTTGCCTATTGACACAACCGAGACAGGATATTATTATGTCTACCCATCCTACACAATGGCAAGTGATATGTTTCATGGTGGGTAAACATTTGAATATTTCTCCTTTGCCCTAGTTCATTGCTTTAACTACTCCATTGCACTGGATTAGCAAATGCCGTGAAGAGACTCATGGACAAAAACTTTGTATTTCACAGAATCACAGCATAGAAGGGACCTTGGAGATCACTTATTCCAACCAATGTAAACACCCATGACAGATGGCCATTCAGCCTCCCTTTTAACCTATTCAGTAAAGGAGAGTCCATAAGCTCCCTAGACAGTCTGTTCCAGTATTGAGCGGGCCTTACTATTAGGAATTTTCTCCTGATGTACAACCAAAATATCCTCTCTTGTAAACCATTGTTTCATGCACTGCCTTCTGAAACAACTTCAAACAATTTTGCACCTGAAGGCAGCTGTCATGCCTTACCAAGATTAAACATAGCCAGCATCGTCAGTAGTTCTCCATACGTTTTTCCTTCCAGGTTCTATATTTTGGTAGCTCGCCTCTGGATGTGCTCCATCTTCTCAGTATCCTTACTAAAATGCAGTGCCTAGAAATAAACACAATACTCTGATTGTTGTCTAACCACCACAGAACCATGAGGAACAATGATTTCTCTTGATAGTGACACTATATTTCTGTTAATGCAGCCTAGAATTGCATTTGCTTTTTTGACAGCTCTGTCATACTATTGTCTCATGTTCAGCTTTGTGTGATCCACCAAGACACTAGATGTTTTTGGTATGTCCTGTCCAGTATGGTTCACCCTCCTATCCCATACTCAGATGAAGGACTTTGCATTTGTCCTTGTTGAAATTATCTTGCTGGTTTCTGACTATTATTCTGGTTCATCAAGATTCTCCTGAACCTTGATACTGAAAAGTTTGCCATTCCTCCTATCTTTATGGTGTCTACAAATTTGATGGTCATATTTTCTAACCCCTTATCCAAGTAATTTATAAATACATTGAACAGCTCAGAGCCTAGAAAATAGCCAAATGGTATCCAACTTGACGCTTCTGACATACAGTACTGTTTCTAACGCTGTTTCAAAAGTAGCTACAAATGGGGCCATAGTATTCCCTTAGGAAAGAAACTCCATAGGGGTGGGGTCATCCCTGAGAAAAGCCTCTTTGTAATGTTTGCCAGTCTTTCTGCTCTTAGTGCTTTAAAGCCCAGGCAGGCTCTAAAGTGTGTAGATTCCTCTGTTCACTCATTTCGCTCAACTGTCCCAAGAGTAGGTACCGTTTCTGTTTTCTTCTTATGGCTCCAGCCTTCTATGCCATTTTAGATATGGCTTGGAGGTTTCTCCAACCTTTTTGAGCAGACTGGGAGGCGCTGCAAGTAAATGGGGGATTACCTTTTTTCTCCTTCCAGTAAGGGGGCCTGTAGGGGGCCCATTTCAGACTCATTTGTTTCTGCTGTATATCATTCCAAAGACAAAACCCATTTTTTACAGATGATCACTCCAGAGTGATATTGCAACCTGTGGAGGATGATCCTTCTTCAGACTACATTAATGCTAATTATATTGATGTAAGTAGAATGTATATCTTGCTTTTTTTTTTCTTCCCATCTACTCTCTGTGAAACATTTTTGCATGCAATTCCTATGAATTGAATGAGAGCCTTCTTAAAATTATGAACAAAATGTACACTTTTCCTTGTCCTCCGTCCTAGTACTCACTGACATTGTTGTGCTTTCTTTCACATCTGACTTTGATTTGGGCTGTAGATTTGGCTGTACAGGGATGTAAGTACCACTATATGTGAATAACAGCATCCTGTTATGACTATTTAATATAGTGAACATTCTCAGTTGCTTTACTATTACTAGATATATGTGCATGCCTCATTAATGAACTCCATTTATATATCTAGTCTTTTTAATATTCCTTTGTGCTTTTTTTTCTTTCTTTTTTTCTTTTTTTTTTTTTTGCTTTTACCTACATTTTAAAAATATCCTTAGTTTTTTACAGCGATCATGAAAATCATTAGCTAAATCAATGGAACCTAACCCTTACAAGATTCACCCTTTGCTTGTGTATTTTCTTTCTTTCTTTTTTTTTTTGCATTGTTTAGTAATTTTTATTTTGTATTCCATTATTTTTGTGTGAGAAGCTGGATAATAGAATATAGTGTGTTGCTCTTGAAAAGAAACCTACTGATAGTCTGGAAGGGATAACGGGTGGGAGGCCTGGAGTTGTCTCCTATTCTTAAAGGGAATTCATATAAGTAATAGTGCTCTTCCTACTAACCCTTGACCCTCATATTTCTAATGCAAGGCAAGAATCCTCAACTTGCAGTAAAAATGAAATAATAATAATGAGTTAGAAAATGATACAGAAGCTTAAAATTTTGGACAAATACAAATGAACATAAATGACCATGAAGGCTATAATGGGGTCATCATTTCCTAGACTGTAGTAAAGGCTTGTATATTTGACAATCTAATTCAATACAAAATTTCAAAATGTGTAATGTGGGTAATCACCACTGGTGTACTTAGAAGATAGTTTTCCAGGCAGGTGCAGTTACTTTAACAGAGCAGTTATCATTCAGCAAATACACCCACCAACAATTTTAATAAAAGAATTTCATAGCTATGTCCCTGATAATTTGAATGAATGCATGTGCTAGATTATGAGTTAGAGAACAATACTGCTATGTGTTTACAGGGCCTCAATTTTACTTCAGGACTCTGCTGGAAGCTGTTATCTAATTCCTTAAGTGTTTTGTTTCTCTGCAAGAGAATGTTTTCTTCCCCTATCTGTAATGCATTCTCAGGTGATCTAAATTTTTGTAGGGTTTTTGAGTTCCCAATACCCTTGCCCAAGGATACTGATTTTATTTTGTTTTTCTTATTATGGCTGTGCAGCAATCTTGATTTGAAGGGTGTCATAGTCAACAGCATCTTAAAGTCAGTGTCGTTTAATTCAAGGTGTTTACAATAGATATGACATGCACATGTACTCTAAATCACATTTTGCTCTTTGAATCCAGATCACTGCACAGCTGCATCACACATCTCTGTGTTTTTCTGAAAATCTCAGAGGCTACATTATTATGGGACTTGTTTGTGATGTTAAAACCAGGGAGGCTGCAGGCTGGTAGGACCATTAATGGCTAGTAATACAGGTAGTCCTCGACTTACAACCATTCATTTGACAACCATTCGAAGTTACAACAGTGCTGAAAAAAGACAACCGTTCCTCACACTTATGACCATTGCAGAGTCTCCGTGGTCATGTGGTCAAAATTCGAGCACTTGGCAACCATTATGTATTTATGACAGTTGCAGCATCCCAGGGTCACATGATCACCATTTGTGACTTTCCCAGGGGGCTTCCAACAAGCAAAGTCAATGAGGGAAGCCAGATTTGCTTAATGACTGCATGAGTCGCTTAACGACCATAGTGATTCCCTTGACAGCTACAGCAAAAAAGGTCATAAAATCAGGCACAACTCGCTTAATGACCACATTGCTTAGCAAAGAACATTCCAGTCTCAATTGTGGTCATAAGTCAAGGACTACCTGTAGGCATTTCAGTGTCATCAGCCCCTCATAATTAAGTTAACATCTACAATACTATACCAAATCCATGATTCTCAATGATTTCTCCTCCTTTCGAAAATGCAACGGAAAAAGTATCTTTCCCATTAAACTGAATATGAAGTGACGGGAAAATTGAAGAAGCAATGTTTAGCATAACGTTGCTTTATATAAGCATTTCTCAATAAAGCACTGAGTGTATCTTTGGGAATTCTTTTTCATAATAATTATTTCTTCCTTTGACCAACTTAATACAATGTGTTTTATACAGGAAAATTATACAATGCTGCTTCTAATCCTGCTTCTAAGCCATAGAATCACTGAGGATCACATCAGTAAAGATGTTGTTTACGTGTGCTGCTACCAGAGTTATTCTTAAGCTAGTATGACTAATTTCCTGCCTTCCCCAAATTCTATCATATAATTAGCAAAAACTTGATGAAATAATGTTCATGACATCCAGTTATCTTTTTTGTTGTTTCATATTCTAGCCATTAACCAATCATGGTCAATGATTGTTTACTTGATTTTAGCCAAAGGCCAACAAGCCCTTTTTAAAGTATATGGATATGGAATCCTTCCCTGCATTTAAAAATTGTACTTTAGAGAAAGTTCAGTAATGGCACCTATATGTGTGTTCATCTTTATATTATATGTACACACCGTTGCTTAACTTCTAAACTTAGTTTTATGTAATTGCACAAAATTGCAGTATTGCATGTAGATTTGCAATCTGTGCACACATATACATTGTCCAGCTCTAACGTTCAGCCATTTTGCTTATTCATTATGGCTCAATTTTTTTTTTCTGGTGCATTCATAGTAAAGGTTTTTGCTAAGAGTTTGGTTGTTTTGTGCTTAATATCTAAAAAAATAACAAACAAAACTATGTCAATCTGTATTTTTTAACTGAAGGCACATCTCATAGTTGCTTAGAACAATTTCATAGTTTCACTGAATTAGAACTTAAATTCAGAAATTTAAGAAATTAAATAAATGGCAACAGTCATAGATTTCACAAAACAGAGCAATTAAGAAACAATAAGCCACTTCCTTTTGAGGTAGTGAAGTTGAAGTTTTCATGAATTTTTCATTCAATCCTAAACCCCATTCTCTCAAAAATAACACCTTGAAATCAACTGGGCTTATTTCACATCCAGTGCTGCACTTTGATATTCTGGAAATGGTTGAAACTAGGTAGTTGAATACAGTTGATTGGATTAGCCACTACTAGCCTATTTGAAAGGGGTATCCAGGAATATTTTGGTATGCCTTCATTTTCCCTATTTGATTTTATATTTTTAAGGTAACAGACTGTTTTAAAAATCAACTTTTATTATTATTATTATTGTAGGGATACCAGAGACCAAGCCACTACATTGCAACCCAAGGTAAGAGTTGCAGTCTTGCAGTTGCAATTTACATTCTTGCAGAAATACGTGCAAGACTGTAAATTCATACTAAATGTTGTAAGTTAGCTACAATTTCCCAAAGTGCTCTTTTGGATGTCTATATCACCAGCAGAGATGAACAAGAGAAAAGTTTAATCTCTATTTTTGTGAGTTTGGAGGGGGGGGGACTAGTTTGTTAATTGCATTTATCTCCTGCTATAATAAAACAATGACTCTTGGCAGATAATGTAAGTAGGCATATTCAATCTCTCAGCAGTTTAGATTATAAATTAATTAACATGCTATTTTATTTAGTTAACTTTCCACCAAAAATGGGTGAAGAATTGCAGTGGGAAGGGATGCTGTTGAATTTCAGTGGTGTAATCTTGAGAGGGGCTCCATGTGCTGCAGAAAAAGGGGCTTGGGGGTTGGTCTCTAATCCAGTCCAGTATCCTTTATCCATACTAGCCAATCATACACCTCAGCAAATGCAGGACATGCAAACAGTAGCCCTCTCCTGGTTGTGGGTATTCAGAAGCAGCATATTATCCCTGAACCAGGATGTTAAGGCATGTTGACAAGTATTCCTCATCAGTAATCTTATATAGAATTTGCCTGTAAGAAAGTAATTAACAAAAGCTAACGAAAACAAGCCTTACAAAGTATGAGTACCAACATTCAAAATGGGAGGGGCCAGTGCAGATCAAATTCTCATGTTTTTCCTACATGGAAATAAGACAACAAAGTTGTTGGGGTTATAATAAATCGTGGTAATGGGAGATTAAGTCAAATAATAAAAATTGTGATAAGCTGTAGGGTTGTGCAGTACTTAAAATTCTTTGGAGTGCACAAAGACTTTCTGTGTCTTTTTCCCAAGTATAAATGAGCCCATTCTAAAATTCTTTTAATTCTCAGACATTGGCATTTTCTTGCACTAAAGCATCTGGCTTAATCTTTATTTGGGTTTTTTAAAAACTAATAATCTGGTTTCAATGGAATACTTCAATGCTAATGATTAATGTGCAGCACTTTTTGAAAGATTACTGAAATCCTTCATACTTAATGAATACCTGACAGCTATTTTAGAGATAGTGGCTTTACAGTTTCTTTAAATTTATTTATGAGCATTTTCTTTGCCAGGGCCAGTGCATGAGACAGTCTATGATTTCTGGAGAATGATATGGCAAGAACAATCAGCCTGCATCGTTATGGTTACAAATTTAGTTGAAGTGGGGCGGGTAAGTATCTCCTGAGAAATACCAAAACACATTAAATATTGCAGTTCCTTTGTTAAGAAAAACAGAAGCACAGCCAGGGAGGAATATATACCAACCTTTCAATGACCAATATGGAGCCAGAATACAAAGCTGCACATGTCTGCATGTCTGTAATCTGTGAAGTGGATCTGGGTTGATAGAAAAAGCAAACATTATGAATGCAAGTGCATGTCAGCCTTTGAGATGTTTGTTTATCTGAAAAAGAAATTCTGTGATTCTGTGTTTCTGTTCCTACTGGCTCAGGGCACACATTTTTCTGTCTGTGCATGGATGGCTGGAAGGTACAGAGGTGAAATAAAGGACAAAAAATCACAATCTCATCCTCCTCTCGTGTGAGAAACAGAAATAGGCTGAACAATCTCAACATAGTGCTGATGAATTATCCTCCCTCTAGAAGTGAACAGAGAATTAAATGAAGAACATTCCATATAACCGCCTTTTCCATTTGCTAATGCCTCTGCTTTTATTCTATGTTCTTAAAGGCACCAAACTTTTTTTATCCTCTAATCTGTCCATTAGATGAGAAGGTAGAAACAGTCAAATCAAATGCAGAATTCTTTAGTTTAGATGTTTTCCTTTGTAATTCTGACAGTAAAATTGAGTGGATGATCCTAAATGATGTAAAAGCAAATACTACACTATATAAAATAAATATATGGTTATTATATAGATAAGTGTTTTAAAAATGCTTATTCTACCTTTATGTTTTCACCACCTTCACCTGTATTTTCATTTATGAAATATAATCTACCACTAGATAAAAGTAATAATATGGTGGGCATGTTCCAGTGATTCATACATTTCTTTGAGAAGTATTTCTATAATGTTGATTGTAGGTTAAATGCTACAAGTATTGGCCTGATGATACTGAAGTTTATGGGGACTTCAAAGTTACTTGTGTGGAAGTGGAACCACTTGCAGAATATGTTGTCAGGACGTTCACCCTTGAAAGGGTAAATATTTCTGGATTAGAGCTTTCTATTATTTAACTGAAAACTATTGTGAATTTAACATTTTTTGGTAATATGTAAGAATTCCATTATAATTCAAGCATTATTTTTAAACCATTCTTTTATCAGCCCACCACTGCAGTACTTACAACACCTGAACTGACACACTCATTCTGCTACACCTGAACTTTCCTAATGTATTTATTTTCCATCCACACTTCTGTCAATTTAATTCTGCTCCTATTTTTTTCATTTTATAAACAGCGTCTCACATGTCTATTATTTTTATTCTCATACTAATTTTCTTGGTCATATCTTGTGCCTTGTTTTTTTTATAAAAAACAAAAATACTTTGGAATATTTTGCCATCAGTTCAAACTTTTGAGGATCTGAGCTGTCTTAGGGTTATTTCTATGACTAGGTTATATACCTCAGCAGCCACAGTTTGCTTTGTTTTAACCATGTCTGTCTGAGTATGCCATAATGTCTGGTTCACACAACATGCTAAATAAACAAACATACCACATTGTAGCTTAGCAATCCTGTCTGTCTGTCTGTCTATCATAGAAACATCCATAAAGAATTTTAGTATCAGCTTCCTTGGCTGATAATTTGCTAGGTAAGCAACTTCAAGTTTCTACTTGTGCATAGTTACATATAATTTAGACTTTTTCCTCAGGTCACTGCTAAATTGCCCACACTTACTTAGTCTTCCTTTATATGTTACATAGTTGGTTCCTTATAATTTCAGTACACACACACACAAAAAAAGAGTTGTGTTATAGTCAGATGAATACTGTTCCTGTGCTTATAGTATTCTTACATTATAGAAAATTGATTAAGCCAATAGATTTTCATTTATATATGCCTAGTTCAGACATAAAAGAAAGCAAGATTTCCACTTATCTAAACAAGCTTGCATGAGCTTCAGAGTCGCCACAAGGAGAATTTGGTAACTTCTACTCCCAAACCACAACCTTTTTAATCTCTGAAATCAGGGAGCTCCAATTGTTTAAGTTAGCCTTCCCCAACCTGATGTCCTCCAGCTATGTTGGGACTGAAATGGAATTCCCATATTTCTTGCCCTTGCTCCTTGTGGAAGTCTGGTTTAAACTCTATAGTATGTGAAGGAATGTTTTAACATTAATTTTTAATGTTAAAAATGTTTAATGTTTTAACCAGCAGTTAAGGAACACAGATGTTTCTGGTTTCTGTATAGCTGTAAAACAGAAGTAGAGAGGAATACACAAGCTTGAGGCTGTTGTAGGCTCATACAACTAGCAAGAAACAACAAGAATCATAGCAAAGCTTTGTGATACATGGAACTGGACCATTAGAACTTTGATAGTTACTCCTGGAACTTTGATTCCTACTTCCAGTAATCCTCAGTACTTTTCTCTCCATTCAAGATATATTTCTTACTCACCTGTATATACATCATTGTTATACTTTACTTAAATGTGAGGGTATACCTAAATTTAAAACTCTTTCAGTTATAATTCTGTTTTCATGGGATCATGAGAGCTACTCTCACATAATGTCATTACATTTCTAATGCAGACCACCATTGGAGCACTATCTCAGTTTGATATTAAAGACTTCCAGGCTATTTCTTTAAGGACTGAATTTTTCCTTTCTTGGGGAACTTTGCATATATTATAATTTCATGGTAATATACAATTGGCCTGGTATATATGCAGCATAAACATGCAGTGATTAAGGTATGATGAGAAAATAGTGCTACATTCAATATTTTACTGGTTTTATGAAGGAAACCTATTAAAATCAATTGAAGCTTATAATCGTAGTCCAGCATAAATTCTAACACAGTTGTTCTGTTTAAAGCAAAAATGGTGATATTTTTGTCTTAGAAAACTAACAGAAATCTAACTTAACATAACTTATCAGATGAAAGAAAAATACTACTTTATTATTTTCCATTTTGACAGAGAGGTTACAATGAAATCCGTGAAGTTAAACAGTTCCACTTTACTGGTTGGCCTGATCATGGAGTACCTTACAATGCAACAGGCCTTCTTTCATTTATACGCCGTGTGAAACTATCTAACCCCCCAAGTGCCGGGCCTATTGTTGTGCATTGCAGGTGTGTAGAAAAGAGGTAGATGCATTTTCTATAATTCTCAATGTGTGCATGATCTGTCAAGTGTTGTGACGTTGTTGTAGTGTGATATGGGGTGGGTTGATCAGATAGCTTGGATTATTATTTTCAACTCACACGTTTGAGAGAGAACTCCATGATCCAGTTTCCAAGAATGTCCGATTCAGTTTCAGTTTCTATGTTCTAAAGTTGTCAGGTCTTTTTAAATACTACTAAGGTATAAGGTTGATTTAGATCAGTGTTCCAACCTGGGAAGTCTCCATATATAGTATATTATATTATTAGCAACTTGAGGTTGGCAGTCGCTGGTTTAAAAATGTTTCCATATAGACTTATAGATTACTTATATAGAAGTATTCTTAAAATACTTCAAGAGAAGTAATATCTGAGCCATTAGTGCATCTGCACTGGCTACTAATCATACCAAAGAAATTAAACATTTGCCCTCATCACTACTTTTTATCCTTCAAAGACCTACAACTTGCTTCTGGGTATTCTGGATCGTCAACATATTCCCGTTCAAGTAGTAATAAACAACAATAATATTATTCTTTTTATTCTTTTCTCCACTTACATTAACCTTGATGCAAGACCTCTATAGTATCACATGCTTGGATTTCAAAAAAATATAGAAATTAACAAACATATTTTGCCAGGCTGGTCTTATTTTACATGCTAGGATAACTTACCTAGTAGATTTTTTAATGCAATAGAGACACCCTCATATTTTGATTACCAAGCTAGTTAAGGATGAACATGTGATATGACTGTTATGTGGCTTGGTAGCTGGCTTAAAGCCATATTCAAAGAACATTCCTCATCAACTTGGAAGTAAGTGTCAGGCCTAGCTCAAGGAACTCCAAGAGACAATGCAAATTCAGTTCAGCTATGTTTATTAGCTACAATCTCTAGCAAGAATCTTCCCAGACTGAACCCCCAGATCCCAAAGCCAGCCACATCATTGTGAATTTCTCAGGGAGGTGCCAGTCTCATCCTCTTGTATCTCCCACGCTCCTCCGG